AGTTTATTAATTCCAAGCCTGGAACTGGGTCCCTAAAAGTTAGGAATGGCAGTACTCAATCCCACCATATCCACCCTCCTTTAGAAGGTAGGGTTGGAGGCATGCACAGCAGTAATCACAGACTACTGTTTGGAGCAGAAGCCACAAATGTGTTTCCTTCTTACTGAGACTGCTCATAAGAGCCCATGTCCAGTAAATCATAATCTCATCTGATGGCAATGATTTTTCAGTCATTACCAACAAAGGATACACTAGAATTGGACACATCCATCACCTACCCTTTAAACCCCCAAAGTTCTTCCAACATCATTTCATAGGGATACTGTGTTCAGTTTTCTATCTTGAAGCTTTTTCCTCAATCTGTACAAGTCAGTAAAAACATCTCTTTAATGCTTAATTTCCTTCCTTCTTCAGAAAGCTACTTGCATAATTACAGCTGAATGCAAAAATACTGAATTTTCCTTTAAGGATGTGACAGACAAAACTAGAAATCCACCTCCTTCCTGCTGGCTGGGTAGTTTCATCTCTCTAAAGTATTTCTGAGGCACTAGCACCTTATATCATACCTTCAGTCCCTTCAATTTAGTTCTTATCCAAGGTCATAAGGTTCACACATGCATTATTTGGATTGCAGCCCTTCCAGCAACAATGTATTTATAGGAGAGTAGCCTTTCAGCTGTGTCCTTTTGATAGAGAATCTCACATGGGAAACAAAACTGTTTCACCTGTTCAGGACTGTCTGCATGACAAATCTCAAATAAAAGAAAAAAATATTACAACCAAATATTTGTGGTTTTAGACAAATTTTATTAAGAACAGAAAAATCAGAATAGATAATAAGCATATTTTGTCTTAAAATCTGTAAAAGCTAACCTACATAAAATGAGTAGTAGTTTACAATTCTTGAATTTATATCCTTTCTTCACCACTTAATTTCGCTCTGATGACTCTTGGCAATCAGACACCAGAGCAGAAGCATAACAATGCAGTGGGGTACCCAGGGCAGCCGCAATACATGGGTGCATTGGTAACTTCTGATGCCACTGTGCCACCAGCAAAATTGTGAGGTTGTGGCAGCAGTGGTTTTTTTTCATTCTCCCTTCCACTCCCCATCCTCATCATCCTGTCCTAATTATGCTAGTACACCAGAGATTCTGCCTCTGGTTTCATGCATCTTGCACCATACTCCCTTGCTTCTTAGGATCCCTTGCTTACAGGTAACTTTGGTCTACCAATTTGGGACCTCAGCTGCAAGGATATTTAGCCACTATTTATCCTCCAGAAAAGAGATGAATCTCTTATAAAATCTCCATTTTTGTCCCTCAAATTAATACTGTTGTTTGCATGACTTTTTCCTGCATTATTCTGGCAACTTCAAATTCTCTGAAAAGTCTGTATGCAGAACAGTTGCCTTTGTATCTCATTTCCCAATAAGTGCTTCCCATCTTCAACAGCCTTTTTGTTTGCTCTCTGTTCTGGAAATGAACCTTATCTGCTGTATTATTTATATCTGAATTTAGAGATGATTAACTTAAGCCAGAGTGTTCTATTAACATTAATTCTGCTTCCGTATCACATCAGTCTCTCACACCATGGTACCTAACCACAAACAGTTACTGGCAAAGTAATGACAGCCTTTTAGTGTGCACTTGTCACATTGTTTATGATTACCATAACCTAACAACTAGTAGGATACTTAATCATCACAGCCTTTCATAGGCAGTGGCTTCTCAAAAGAAAAATTTCTAGTAAGAGGAGTATTTAAGCAACTGTAAATACTTTCAACCCATAGGAGTGTGCTATAAAAAGAAAAAAAAAGAAAAAAAAGTTCTAAAGAGAGCAGTTGGATGCCAGTAAATATTTTCAGACTATGCACTAAGCCAATCATTAAGGATGTTGACAAGTCCCTTGCCACTGGATATAGAGTACCTGAGCTAAGAACCCCCCAAGTACAAGACAGTTAAAGAAAGATGAAGAGAGGAAAAGCTAGCACCATTAAAAAAAGTTTATTGGACATCTAAATGGGAGCATAAAGGCATTTTATTTGCACATTCATTTTTGCATAATTTCATTTAGGAACTTGGTGACACTCCTTTCACTTTGTTAAAATAAACTCATATCTACCCAGGAATAATTGTAACTATTTCCTTTCTATGCAGTTTAAAAGTACTGCAGATGTATAGAAAATTGTCAGTTGATAATGTCAGTTCAGCACAAGTCAGCACATAGAATCAGAGTTGACATTCATAACTTCCCACCACCATATTTAAAAGGCACACCAAGACCTATTCAGTTTGACAGTCTGATGTAGAGTAACTTGCAGCACTACTCAATTAGATTAAAAAGTATGTAACAGGTTACTGATAGATTGACATAGGTGTTTGAAACCTTTCAACCATGTAACATAATCACATAGTATGAGAAGTAGCAAAGGACATGTGCTAGCATTGCTAGGCTCTGATAATGTTCATTTCAATCCCCAAAGTTTAAAGACACATTATGTCATTAGTTTTCTTTATTTAAGATCTAGCAGCATGGAAGCAGGGTTCTCCAAATAGGATTTCCATAAATTAGAAAAACGGGCCATTGTAGCTCCATCAATAATACGATGATCAGCCGACCAGCTCACGTTCATTATCTGTGCTTTAAATACTTCACCTTTCCCATTAAATCGAGGCAGGGCCTAGAAATTAAGACATGGAAGAAAAATGGAAACTAAAGATAAACTATATAAGTGTATGAATGTTGGCATTTGTTAAAGCAGACATGACAGAATTTCCATTAATAGAACACAGTTTCCCACAACCGTTTGTGTAGAGGGTATCAAACACATGGGCCACCTGCCACGCCACATATCATTCTGGACATATTTCACTGAGAAATCCCTCCTTGACTCAAAAATATCCTTAGAAAGCTCCTCCACGGTTGGTGTTCAAATGACACTTATCTACTAACATTTCCTAAAAGCTTAAGGGGTCACAAGGGAAAACATGAAAAGTATTATTCACTGAGAAAAAGTAGGGTTTATTTGTGCTAATTTGGTTGTCCATGCTAAAGTTTTTAATTATCTAACCATCCAAAGCTCCAAAATCTTTTAAATTCCTAATTCACTAAACAAACCTTAAAAAATCAGAAGGATTTTATTTCAAGTTTTCTCCTGGGTTGAAACCCTGCAATTCTTGTTTCTGCACAAGGGTAACATGGTTCCATAACAACACCTCTCTCCACACACGCATACTTTTTTCTGATTACTGTAAGCCAAGAGATTAATAAATATAGACATATTGATAAAAATCAGAGAAAAGTGGAGCCAGAAGAGAACTTGGAAGATCACCTAGTCCAGTAGAGATCAAACTTTTTGGCAGGCATGGCACAAATTAGCCATTCACTCTCCCTGAATGCCACTCCAATTGCCTTCTGCTGCCTGACTGGCTGCTCTTTCTGCTCCCTTCCCTGTGCCACTGCCCAATTTGCTGTTCTATTTCTGCTTCCTGCCCTGTGCTCCCTGCCTGATCTGCTGCTTTGCTTTCTGCCTTGTGCTGGCTGTCCCCTCCCCAGTCTGCCATGTGTCACACACAGGCTGCCTGTGCCACTTGTGGCACACGTGCTGCAGGTTGACCACCCCCATTTAGTCCAACCCCCTGCTTGAGGTAGGATCATCCCTATCTAAACCATTCCATAAAAGTGCTTGTCTAACCCATTCCTAAAACTATACAATCAACCCTGTCTCACAACAGAGGCTTATTGTCCCCAAACACCAAAAGTACCCTCACTTGCCGCAAGTAAAGCAGGGGATGAGGGCTGTCAGTGTCCTACCACTGCAGGGATTGTTAAAATACTGAGGCAAATATTACATGCTTCTGAAAAACAAACGTGGGCCACTGAGAAAAAGATTTTTATTTACATGTTTTATGTCTGTGTTCAACCTATTCAGTCTAAAAAACAAAAAACACTGTAATATTTCAATAACAAAGTTTACAGATTGCTTCTTTGTATCTTACAAAAAAATATTATTTTGACTGAAAGCATTTAAGTCAAATAGAAAATTTTCAGTAAACAGGGTCTTACTTTACTCCCATCAAACAGTCTATATTCTTGGTTTTAAATCAATATACAGTAAAATCTCTGCTATCCAGTACATCACCTTGCACTGCTGTTGCTTCGTGTGCAGCGGCCACCATCACCCCTCTCACTCCTGGCTCTGCCAACTGGACGCGGTAGGGGGTGCACCGGGGAAAGCTTGCATCCACCACCCCGCACTGCTGCCGCTCTGTGTGCGGCTGCTGCCATCCCTCCTCCCGCACCTCTACTCCATATTATCTGAAAACCCTGCCTGGTTATTTCTGATAACTGGAGTTTTTACATAACCGGAAATCCCCTTACCCTGGGGATCCCGGATAACAGAAATTTTACTGTACCTGTATCTTCCCAAGAGCTCCAATAGCGACTTCAGGAGGTAGTATCACTGGTTTGGCATAAGTACCGCCAATCTAGAAAAGAAAGTCAGGAAAATGAGTTACAGAATAATTCTAAACTGTTCATCTCAAGTAGCAGTATGTTTCTTGCACACTGTCATATGCATGTTACAGATAAAAAATACAATTGTCTGAAAAAATAAGTAATAGGTATTAGGTATATATTGTAAGGAAAAAAAATAAATTTAAGAAATAGATTTACATGTAAACATTTGTGCTATTTTTTTTTTTTTTTTTACTTACTGTGCCAATATTTGAGAGAGTGAATGTTCCCCCAGTGAGGTCATTTGTTCCCAGTTGGCCTGAAGAACCCAAGGACTGTAGGCGATTTAATTCAGAGGCAATCTCAAACACACTACGGACCTGCACACTTTTCACATTAGGAACAATCAAGCCTTGTTCTGTGTCCATAGCAATTCCAATATTGTGAGAAGCCTACAATAGACAAAGCTATGGTCAGTTTTTACTCATCATAAATTATATGTAAATTAAAGGCAAAGATAAAATATTAGTAAGTTTTAGTTTATGCAAAACAAAATCCTAATATAATGTTCTTAGTATTTTTTATCAGGGAAATTTCTTCCGAATGCGAAGCTATACTTTTTAAGAAAATCTCTCTCAAATATTCACCTTCCAGTCCTGGAATAGTAAAGGCAAACTCCAAGCTAATTTTGGAGAGCCTACATTTAGGAAATATAAGTTCCTATGTCCAGAATAGATTGACTGCAGGGGGTGAGACTGATTTAACTCATGCTATTTTGCTAATTAATCTGTGTACACATAATAAAAAAAATAACAATTGGGACCCCTGTTGGTAATCTCAACAGCAAGACCAAGACTTGAAAGGAAAGAGAGACTAATAAATCCTTTAGTCTTCCAGAAAAGTGATACATGAAAAGTTAATCAGTAAGATGTTGGAAAGACAATACAAAGAATTTTCTATTGCTGCTACCTAAACAGTATCATTTATGTAAGCACAAGAGGTTAACACACCTTGTGCATCAACCCACAGGTTTTATAAGAACTACAATAAATTCATGCACAACTGAATAAAGAAAACGTTTTCTACAGAAGAACCCAAATGATAAATTGTATTTTCTGTTTTAAATATTACACTTCCCACCTTTCTTAATACCAGCAAATCCAACTTGTCTTGATCTTTTATAGAAAGGTGTTAAATCAGGATTAACAGCTAGAAGAGTTGAACTATTGCCATCATAACAAAACACTTCTCCTCCTTAGTTTTGAGGGAGCGGGTTTTTCACTTGGAATGCCTGGTCTACTGTCGGAGAGAAGAGAAAGAGACCAGTGTGTCAATATGCTAGCAATAGCATGTCTTTGCTGCTGCTATATAAATAGCATAAATTAGATCAAATCTCACCCTCTGCATTCAATCCATTCTGACATTAGACAGGGATCCTAATGTACAAATAATTTCCCAACATTGCAGAGAAATGTTACTATGGGCTCTGATTTTTACCTAACAATTGGATGGTTTCAGTAACATCTATTTTTTTTGGCACAGAAGAATCTCCATAATATTTCACAAACCTTGTACGTGATATTTTGACAGTTTTCATCCACAGAAGTGTTAAGAACAGGATAATGCAATAAGGCCAGAGAAGCTGCCTGTTAAACATAAAAGAAACAAATTTACTCTAAGCTAATATATTCATAATATTCTAATGCCTTACTCAGGGATGAAAAGAAGAGGCAGCATGAGCATACCTCAGAAACAGATTATAATTTTCAGAATGCAAATCATGTTTGCCTACAGCAGGGGTTGGCAACCAATGGCCCACAAAACCATTGGATCCAGCTCATGGACATGAGGCTCCACTGGCATTTTGCAAGTGGAAGACTTGTGGGTGCTCTTCCCATGCCATAGTGGGGACAAGCAGGGTGGCCAGGTCCTAGTCCTCACCTCCCTCTCATCCAGGGTAGGTCATTCCTACCTGCAGCTGGAAAAGGTTGCCTACTTCAGTCTAGGATATTGCCATTTCTATTTTTGAAAACTATGAAGAGCTAAACAAGTACCTAGATGAGTAATATTTAGGTAGTAGCTATGCTGTTGCAGTACATAGTGTGTTGCTAAATTCTAATGGTAAGAAGGATAAAAGAAAAGCAATTTATGAAAAGTAAAGATGAAACTGAATTAAAAAAAATAAAGAAGTTGGATTTCCCCTCCAAACTACTATGTTCTTAGCATCTACTCTAGCTGTATATAGTAACATAGTCTCCTAAACCCAATATTTTCTTCTTAAGCACCGCTTACCAATTAATTCAACTTCAAGCTTTCCTGCTGCTAGTTATGTAGCAAACCTAAATGCAGGTTGAACAGATATTTGAAAACTAAAAATCAAGCTCTTTTTCCCTGTGTACTGTAAATGTAATCACATTAGAGGATTTCAGCTTTTGATAAGTTTAAGTGATAAGGCAACTCCTCATGTCAAGGCCCAAGTCAGATTTCCCAAAGCTAAACAGTGATTCAGGGGCAGCATAACCCTTCAGGCCATACATTGACAGAATAATCCTCTCAAGGAATACTTCATATTCTAGGAAGAGGTTGTGGCAGGAGGGAATGACTCTTCTGTTAGCTCTCAGCATAAAACTGTTCTAACGGTTCCTTTACAGTAAGCCATGTCTTCAGCCCTGCCAGCCTTCTGGTGAACACTGCAATAATGGCAGCTGGTAGGAAATGTTGCCAAGGTAATATGAGTGAAAACAGTTGGCCTGTAAATAACAAAAGCTTTTTGCTATTTACCTGAAGGAACAATATCTGTTATTAGAAAAAGTAAAATATAAAAATACAATAAAAATACCAGAAAAATAAAATAAAAACAGTACTGTATCATGTTTGAAATATAAGATGAAGATGCAGACACATTGTAATAAGACTGATGAAGACGTTGAAATAATTTCTGTGGCTTGATTCTGGCTATTCTACTAGTGTAATATGACACAAGAAATACAGACCCAAACTGACTGATAATTCACCTTCTCTACACCCCTCCCCAACATTATTTAAAAAATCTTCTCATCCAGAAAATATAAGCCTTAACAATGCTAGTTATTTAACAGTGCATTGTCAAAAGGCCCAACTAACAAGAAAAAAGTTGTCCTCCACATTAAAATTGTATGCTGCAATGTCCAAGACACATCTGAGCCAGATGCATGCTGAAAGGATACAATAGTACTTGGATCAGAAGATTTTGTGGCGTCCATATTACTACTTCATACAATGAGTTGCAATGCGGTATTCCTCACCTTTAAGAAGAAAGGCATAAAGGAGAGTTTAACTCCACGAGCTTGTGCTAGAGGTTTCAACTCTTCTCTCAACTGCACAAGCTGATTCAACTCAATCTCATCACAATAACCAAAGTGAGGAATCTTCAAAGCAGCACTCATGGTCTTCACCATCGCCTTGTGAAATCCTGAAAAATATTTATTAGGTGCTTTTATTAATGAAAGACAGCTTTCAGAAGCTAACTGCAAAGCTTCTAATGTTTGGTTTTGTTTTATAAAAACAGCACATCTTTAAAAACAAGTGGGATAAATAGTAAATACCTCTTTAGGATTACTTATTTTTCAACAACAAGGAAATAAAATTTTAAAATAGCTTTATGCCAAAGATCACTATGACAATGCTGATACTACAGAGTCAAAGGAATCATAGAATCAAAGAAAATTAGGGCTGGAAGGGACCTCAAAAAGTCATCTAGTCCAACCTCCTATTCAAAACAGGATCTTTCCCAACTATACCTTCCTAGCCAAGGCTTTGCCTAGCCAAGTCTTAAAAACCTCTAAGAATGAAGATTCCACAACCTCTGTGGGTAACCTGTTCCAGTGCTTTACTACCCTCCTGGTGAGAAAGTTATTCCTAATATCTAACCTCAACTTCCCTTGCTGCAACTTGAAACAATTGGTCCTTGTTCTGTTATCTGCCAGCACTGAGAACAGTGTAGCTCGGGGTAGGCAAAATATGGTCCACCAACTGGCCGGATCCAGCTCGTGGCTGCCCCCGCAGTCCTCCACATGGGACTGAGCCCCAGCTGCTCCTGCCAGGGCAGCCCGCACTGCACTCCCGCCAGCTCTAGCCCCAGCCAGCATGCAGCTTCTGGTGGAGCTGCTCCCAGTAAAGTTGTAGTCGGCCAAGTGCTCCCTTGCTCCCCTCACCTCCAGCAGAACTGAAGCTCTCCCCTCCCCGCCCCATTAGAAGCTGTATGCTGGATGGGGCCGGGGCCAGGGCTGAAGTTGGGCAGGGCTCATCTACTTTCCGTGCCTCCAGCTGCAGCTGCTGCTCCTGCTGTGCCATGCAGCTCTGGGCAGGCAGGCAGGAAGTTCAGCCAGGCAGCTCATGCCCAGCACATGGAGCTCTGGCTCCAGGCCACTTTCTATCCACTCCACCTACACACAGGTGGCTGTTCATCATGCCAGGTGGCCAGAACAGGTGGAAGGCAACTCAGAGCTAGAGCCAGAGTTCCACACATTGGGCAGAAGCTGCCTGGCTGAAGCTTCCCACCTGCCCAGAGTGAGCCAGGAGCAGCACCAGCTGCAGCTGGAGGCAAGGGAAGTAGAACAGCCCCACCAGCTGCCAACTAGACATCAACCTATTGATTACTCCCATGGAGCCCAACAATCCAGCCAGTTTTCTATCCACCTTACAGTCCATTCATCCAGCCTGTGCTTCCTTAGCTTGCCTGCGAGAATGCTGGGGGAGACCATATCAAAAGATTTGCTAAAATCAAAGGTACACCACATCCACCATCTTCCTGCATCCACAGAGCCAGTCATCTCATCAAAGAAGGCAATCAGGTTGGTCAGAAATGACTTGCCCTTGGTGAATCCATGCTGACTGTTCCTAATCACTGTCTTCCCCTCCTCCAAGTGCACTGGTAAACTTATTCACTGATCTTGTCATTTAATTACATAATAGTTTCTATACAAATAGTAGTCACAGTACTGTTTTAAGAATTCCAAACTACTCATTTCATAAAGGGTTTCAAAGAAAGAGGTCTGTACTGCATAGTAATATAATATGACATGGGGCAACAGCTCAAAGCCAGTAATCAGGAACAGGGCAAAACTACACACACACACATACAGAACACTGGCAGCTATGAATGTAATAGATAACATTATTTATGTTTTCACTGTTGCCAGCTGAATCAATTATCAGTGCTATACCAAGATTACATTTATGCTTTTACCTGTTATGGGCTCAGTTTTATCTTTTCCTGTAAACACAGTGGGTTTTGAAATAGGTACAGGAATTCTGTGCGCTTTATCCTTTGGAGCAGCTGGTGCAGTCTCTAATTTTGGTAATGGTGGGATAATCTCAGATTTTGGCGATGGAGGTAAAATAGCTCCTGTCTGCTTGGCCAAATAATTGAGAATGTCTTCTTTAAGGATTCGGTTATCTTTCCCTGTTCCAACAACTTCACTCAGTTTAATCTGAAAAGTATAAAACAAGCTATTTAACTTTTGCTATATAGCATGTACACAAAATTCTTCTTATAATATTGATATGAAAGTGTATTATAGGGCATGGAGAAATGAAAATCTGGGGCAGTTTCAAATGGGGAGAGTGAGCTGCTGCTTGGGAATACGTAACAACGGTCACACTAACTGCTATATGTACAGGAGACTGTAGTGATACAGGTAAGCTAAATCACCCCAGCTTTAACCTGTGCATCACTGCAGGCTTGTGAACACTAATAATTAGGGCAGTGGTTCTCAACAGGGGTTATGCAACAACCCAGGGTGCCATGACTGCAGTGGTGTCTAGATAAAACTGTCCATTGTGCAGGGCTGCAGCATTTGCACATACTCCTCCTGCATTCAGGCTCCCCGATAACTCCTCTCATACTGTAGCTTTTCCTGGTCTTCCCCCCTGCCCATGCTCCTCCCAGAAAAAGAGACAAGTGCCATGTGCCCCACATGCCTCTGTTTCTGAGAGACACTGTGCAGGGCTAAACTGTGAAGGGCTGCAGCACAAGTCAGCTCTCCTGCCTGCTTTAGACTGATCAGAGAGCCCAAATGAGGCACAAGTGTATGTGAATGTCAAATATTCCTAGGCTGCACCAAACGTGCAGGGCAGTTTTACTTGGTGGCAGCTACATCCAGTTGAGACCCACAAAGGTAAGTTAAGCATAAGAGTGGTTCTCAGCCACGGTTACTACTAGCAGTGCACTGACAGAGATTTTTTGGGCCAATACCAATGGTCAATTTTAAATGAGCCATATCACCTGATACCGATCCGATCACCAATTATGCAGGTCCAGCTGGTAAGTCTGTTGTGGGGGAAGGGGCGAGGGAAGGGAGAAGAATGAGGCTCCTGTGGTGAGGGAGGGAGTGAGGCTCGGGCAGGACCAGGGGCAGGCGCTGCACAACTAGAGGGGGGCATAGGATGAAGCTGTGAGCAGCTTGGCCAGGGGTTGCGGGGTGGGGAAAGATGGCTCCTGCAGCTACGCACACCCCAGGAGAGCATGGGGGGGCATGTGCCCCTGGATCTGTGCGGGGTCGAGGGTGGGTGCGGTGCCAAGTTCTTCCCGACAGGGGGCTGGGCAGGGCTGTGCTTGGGGTGGGCAGCAGCAGTGCTGGGAGGAGAGCTACGGGGGGGCTGCAGCCACCCCAAAAATCACTGTAGTCCCCCCCCCCACCCCCCCCCCCCAGCCCCCCCCCCGCCTGCCCTGAACGCAGCCCCAGCCCAACCCCCCACCGGGAAGAGCATGGCACTGCCCTGTCCCCAGCCTCCAGTGTCAGCCCACCCTCGCACCATGCACAGATCTGGGGGCACATGCTCCCCATGTCCTCCCAGGGTGTGTGCAGTGGCAGGAGCTGCCCCTTCTCCCCGGCTCCATTCCACACTCCGCCCCGGCTCCGTTCCGCACTCCGCCCCGGCTATGCAGCGCCTACCCCTGCCCCTACCCCAGCCCTATTCCCTCTCTCACTGCGCTCCTGGCCGCCTGTGTGCTGGGCTGCAGCTGCGCGCATACACAGGTCATTTACTGGCCACATCAGCCAGAAAAAGCCAATTGCTGATGCTGTTAATTTTCCTTGTATCAGTACCGATCTGATATGGAACCGATATATTGGTGCACCTCTAGTTATCGCCACAGTCAAGAGTTGTGAATGGGTGCCATGACTCTAAAAAGCTTGAGAACAACTGAATTAGAGTTTAACAGCTTCTGTGTTGTCAAGGTACCTGAGTAACATTCCAGTTTTAATATTTTCCTCCTACTTAAACATCATCTATGCATACTTTATCTAAATGATCTGAAAGACTATATGTGACCAGAATTACACATATTAAAGTTGAATAATGATTTCTTGGTAGTTTTTTCTCATTTGAGAATTATTTATAAATACTTTGCCACTTCATCTATGATGCATGTATTTGAAAAAAATAATTCATCAACATTTTCTCACAATTTTTTTTCTTGACAACTGATCACCATTTTTCAACAATGTTGGACTGTTAGTACCATTCCACTTTTCAGACAGATGTAAATGAAAGTAAAAAGGCCCAGTTCAGTAGGAAACAAACCTACATTATTTTCCATGGCAAGACGGCGAACTGCAGGGGTTGCTAGGGTTTTATGTCCCTTTATTTCTTGATGTGTGTGTTCTTCATGAGATACAGCAGGTGTTTCAACAACATCCTCTTCTGGGGCTACATCTGAAAATCAGACAAAGACTAAATGTATTATGTGGCTCCAAAAATCTTGGCAATAGAGGCTAAACACAGAATGAACCAAAGTCAGGCAAGGAATTTGTTTTACGCATCCTAATTTTAAAAATAATGTAATCTGGATACAATTTAACAGAAATTAAGTTTGGGCAAGACCCCCATGCATCTAAACAAAAATCAGTGTTAGGATCCATAATACTGGAAACTACTTATGTTCCATTTTGTATGCTGACTATTCAAATACCAGTAACACAAGCACAACATAAGAACAAAATTTTAAAAAAGGTGGGGGGGAGGGGAAGGAAACAGAGACAAAACCAAAACCCACATAATTCAGTGGGTCTTTCCATTCTGAGACACTTTAAAAAAAACTCACTGGTTACCGCATGTAATGCAAATCTGACACAATGGGTACTGGTAAGACAACGGAAATGTAAATTTCTCAGCAAGACTAATCCGCTTTGTTTTAAGCAAGTCCATTTGCTGGATACACTAAAGGTACTGACAAAACACGATACCCAAGAAGGCATAGTAAACTCAACATTACAGTTTATATTATATCTAAAATGTATCTGAACAGCCTATAAGTAACTACACATCTTGAAACTTTTTCTACAAGAAAACAAATCACTAATTCAAATCAAGAAATTATGTTACATTTTACATACTATTTTTATAGCAGGCCAATTACTTCAGTAAATTATGGATTTTCTAACCTCTAACTGCCTGTAAGAACCCAGACCTCTCCACTATAAGAAAACAATTAGGAATTACGGAAATGAAATATATATTTAAATATACATTGTTTTTCTTTTGGTAATTGTCCAGCATGAGGGTATTTCACCTAATTTAAATTTAAGTAGTGTAATGAAAAGTTAAAGTAGGATTTTAGGCTCTATCTAATATTACTCAGAAAAGAAAAAATTATGGGAACTAACAATTGTCTGTACTTAGTAATTAAAAGTGCCTCGACACAGCAGAATTCTTAGCACGATGCGAGTACTCGGTGCAAGGGATGCCTCGCTACGGCGGGAAAAGCCTTGGTGCAGTGATCAGCTCCCGCAAAAAACTAGCAGCTGCACTGTTTGGATGCATGCTACCGATTGGCTCATCGTAAATTATTCATACCCGGCAGCTAGCAATTGGCTCACTAGCCATATAAAAGCTTGGGTAGTTTCCGCCCAAGCTGGAGAACTCCGCGTGTACGTTGGGAACAAGTTCCTCGTGTACCTTGGAGCAAAACTGGAGGCCTGATCAACCACCAACCACTCCCCGTCGCCGACCGTCCTGATGTACCCCGCACCCTGCATGCTCGGAAAACATCGGTGTGCCACCCGGTTTCTTTCTTTTGCTTGTAACCTGTAACGGAGCATGCCTACACTGTGTGCATCGACGCAAGTCCCTGTACATCAGTTTGTAAGTAAAGTTCTTTTCAATTCAACCAGTACGCGTTTGTGCCTAATTCCACTCCATCGGTGCGGCCCCAATTCCGGCTATACTCGGCCCCCACAACAATATACAAAGAACTATCCAGTATAAACAGAGATGGTAGAGCTTTGTTTGGACCTTCTGACAGTGCAAGGATTCAGATTCAGATCCTACAATTTTGGGGGAGATATACAGTGAATTCAGAGATATCACAAAAGTCTGTATTGTTCCATGTTTTTGCTGAAATAATTATAAAACTGTTGCAACTGTTTTACTGAAGGCTATTCTTCAATATGCAAGTACAAATTCAATCCATCTTTATTTCTTTTACTTTTTTTTTAAAATAATTGAATATAAATAAAAGCCTTAGTCCCTTTCAAAGACCTGGACAGAGAGCAACAAGAAAATCATTCCTTTTGCTTGATCCAAAAAGGCTCTGTCTTTTTTTCCCAAAAACAGTATTAGTCATTGTCTGACACGGTTATTTATAAGCAGAGGACAAACAGTGCATATTCCTATTAAAATTGTTTTGTTGCATTAAAAAAGGAACAAAAATAACTCTCTGTGAAAGTTTATATGCAGAGTCTTATGTGATATTGTTATACACAACTCTCCAAAGCTCACAAGTCCTGGAAAGTGTCATATGCAAGACATAAAAAGGCAAAAACAGCTAGAATGAAATTCCCATCTCCACCCAAATCAGTAATAAAACTCCCACTGACTTCAATGTTGCTATGTTTCACCTCTAATCTTTAACGCAGAATTAGGGCTACTTTTCTATATTGGGTCCAGCAACCTTTATATGCCAAGGGCAGGAACAATCCAGCTCCAGTTTGGCAGAGGCTGGGTGATTCTGATAGTGCATCAGTAGCGAGGGGCGTTTAACCTGCATCCACGCTGGAGCCAGGCAGCTGGGAGTGGCACCTGTGCCACTGCCACATACAGAAATTAAATCTAACCAGCTTGCCCAATAATTCGTTTTCTGAAATTGTGATATTAAGACTGAAATCTACCAACAATCCGGGTGGCTTTATAACAACAAAAATAAATTATTAAAGGAATAAAACTGTTTACAATACCTTTTAAGACATCAGTTTCTATGTCCACTAATGGTTTTCCAACATAAGCAATTTCATCTAGATTATAATAGAGTTTTCTAATAATTCCATCATAACGACTGGTGATAGTAACTGAAGCTTTGTCACTTTGTACTTCACAGATGCTATCAAACTGAGATACGCTATCACCTTCTTTTACATACCTAAGGGAAAACAAACAGACTTTCATAGAACATGATAAGCGTAAAAATCATATTGGCTTTGTTTGTTTTTGATAAATGTAATTATGCATGCCAGTATAGTGCTATAGTGCTCAACCTATCCAATTCTCTAAGCCAGATGAGCGGTGCACAGCTGGTCCAGAGGCCAGATCCCATGCAGGGGACAATCCATGGGCAAGATCCAGCTCAGGGTCAGTTCACGCATCTGGCATACCAACAGCAGAGGCCCATATCCAGCCCTGCACGCTGGATCCAGCCCTGCATGTATATTATGTAGCATGTGGGACTCCCAAGGGGTCCACAAATTTGATGGCAGTGGGGTCGCCACTGTTTCCCTGCTGCTAAATTTCTGGACCCCTGGGGAGCCCTGCAGACCAGATCACACTGCTCCACAGGCTGGATCCAGCCCACAGACTGTAGGTTGAGCTCTACTGGTATAGTGTATTTACATACTTCTAAGTATCTTTACACAGTATACAACAAATATGTTTAATAGTAGGAAAAGCCTATTTGAAACTCTCAACACACATATAGATATAGAAGCTCTGCAACTGAAGAGGCTACTGCTAACATATTTTCTTGAAAATAATCTATTCCTGAATATAACACGCACAAAGTTTTTTTAAAAAGCATCATGAAAATGAAAAGATCTTAATTTGGGTAAGTCACTGAGTAAATAAGGAAAATCTGTCTACTGCGAATTGTTCCTACTGTAACCCAAGCGTAGATAAATAATGATACCGCCCCACAAAGAATAGAATGCTATGAGACAGAACAGAATATTAAGAAGCTTTATGAAGCTTTTGTTGTACATGGCATAGAGTTTCAAAATGTGGTAAATCAAATTTCTAAGAAACCTGCACTGGTAGGCCAAAAAGTTATTCACTTGATGATAAGGATCCTGGTTTTCTCTATTTAAAAATGGCAAATTCTCTGATAAACCCTCCCCCGCAATAACTTCTCTGGTTAAAAACACCAAAATCTACATTCTTCCATGATTAAAATGAAACACCACTATATATGACGAGGTGACTGGCTCTGTGGATGCGGGGACACAGGTGGATATGGTGAACCTTGATTTTAGCAAGGCTTTTGATACAGTCTCCCACAACATTCTCAGAGGATGCTAAGGAAGTATGAGCTGGATGAATGAACTGTAAGATAGATAGAAAACTGGCTGGAGCATCGGGCTCAGACAGTAGTAGCCAATGGCTTGATGTCCAGTTGGCAGCCTGTATCAAGTGGGGTGTCCCAGGGGTCGGGGTCCTGGGGACAGTTTTGTTCAATGTCTTCATTAATGACCTGGAAGATGGCATAGAGTGCACCCTCAGCAAGTCTGCAGATGATACCAAGCTGGAGGGAGTAGTAGATATGCTGCAGGGTAGGACTAGGATTCAGAGCGATCTAGACAAATTGAAGAACTGGGCCAAAAGGAATCTCATGAGGTTCAAGAAGGACAAGTATAAAGTCCTGCGCTTAGGATGAAACAATCCCATGTACCAGTACAGGCTGGGGGCTGACTGGCTGGGCAGCAGCTCTGTAGAAAAGGACCTGGGAGTTACAGTAGACAATAAGCTGAATATGAGCCAGCAGTTTGCCCTTGTTGCCAAGAAGACTAATGGCATACTGGGCTGCACTGGTAGATGTGTTGCCAGTAGGTCAAGGGAAGTGATTATTCCCCTCTAGTCAGCACTGGTGAGGCCATATCTGGAGTACTGTGTTCAGGTTTGAGCCCCCCACTACAGAAAGGCTGTGGACAAATTGGAGAGAATCCAGCAGAGGGCGACAAAAATGGTGAGGGGGCTGCAGGATATAACTTATGAGGTTAAGACTAGGGGGAACTGGGCTTATTTAGTTTAGAGAAGAGGAGACTGACAGGAGACTTAATAGCAATCTTCAACTACCTGAAGGGGGGTTTGAAAGACAATGGAGCTATGCCAGCAGTTCCCAATCTTTGGTACAGGTACCAGGAGTGGTAAATTCTAAATATGTATAAATTTTGGCATTTGTTTTTAAGTATTTTTATCATGGAAAATCAGAACTTCCCTTGCCCCCTTTGCTCCCCCCACTGCTGCTTTGTGGTGCTAAGCAGCCCTGCCAATGCCACTGACCCACAGCTTCCCAGCCCTGCTGGTGCCCCACACTCCCACCCCTCAGCCCCCTACCCTGCCAGTGCCCTCACTCAGGACCCACAGCCCCTTGGCCCTGCCAGTGCCCCTCACTCCCCACTTGGCCTCCACAGCCCAGTGGGTGGGACCTGGTACAGCAGGGCAGGGTGGGGCGGGACAGTGTGGGGAGGCTCGACTCGGTGCCACTGCTGGGAGCCCCACACCACCATGACAAGGCAGCCACTGCCTGCCTGGTAGCAGTGGCACAGAGTTGTGCAACTCACTGCTACCAGGCAGGCATGGGGTGCCTTGTCACGGTGGCATAGGGTTCCTGGTGGCTGCACCAAGCCACCCCACCCCCGCTCTGCCCTGCTGCACCAGATCCCACCCACTTGCCTGCGGAGGCCCCCAGGGGGAGAGCAAAAAGGAAGGGAGCCCCAAGCCTGTAGCTGCCAGCCTGCACCACCCCCTGCCCACAAATCTGGGGGTCACATGCCCCCCACATCCCACCTGGGAGCATGCGCACTGGTGGGGAGCCAGCCCTCCTACCGCCTCCTGGACGAGCTGCTCACAGCTCCGTCCCACTTTCTGCCCAGGGCCTGCGGCCGCACATTCCCACCCCAACCCCATGCACCACCCTGGTTGGGCAGTGCCCCCAGTCCCAGTCCTGCCCAACAACCTCCATCCCTCACTATGGGGGCCTCAATCCTCCACCACTCCCAGACTTACCTGCGGATAGTTGCTCTCCATGCTGCCTGGCTCCCACATGCATGCGTGCGTGCGTGCGTGCACATGC